TGAGATAGGGCGAATCATTGTAGTACACATATTTTGTATTCAATTAAAGCACCTGCCCTGATCCACTGATTTCTTCGACCAACAGTACAACTGACTAAAAAAATTGGTAAAGTACATAGATGGGCCAGGACTGCTGGGCGAATGTTTTGTTGAACAGACTGGCAGCAATCTTGTTTTTGGAGGGTTGTTGCCACTTGGTCTTCATATGACAAAAGTGGTCTGACCTTCACATGACAATAGTGATCTGATCATCACATGACAATAGTGGTATGACCTTCACATGACAATAGTGGTCTGACCTTCACATGACAATAGTGATCTGATCATCACATGACAATAGTGATCTCATCACATGACAATAGTGGTCTGACCTTCACATGACAATAGTGATCTGATCTTCACATGACAATAGCGATCTGATCTTCACATGACAATAGTGATCTGATCTTAACATGACAATAGTGATCTAATTACTGGGAATGTATGATAAAGTGGTGGGCTTATTACTGGGCATGTATGATAAAGAGATGGGCTAATTACTTACAGGGCATGTATGATAAAGAAATGGGCTAATTACTGGGCATGTATGATAAAGAGGTGGGCTAATTACTGGGCATGTATGTTAAAGTGGTGGGCTAATTACTGGGCATGTATGATGAACAGGAGGGCTAATTACTGGGCATGTATGATAAAGAGGTGGGCTAATTACTGGGCATATATGATAAAAAGGTGGGCTAATTACTGGGAATGTATGATAAAGAGGTGGGCTAATTACTTGGCATGTATGATAAAGGGGTGGGCTAATTACTTGGCATGTATGATAAAGAGGTGGGCTAATTACCGGGCATGTATGATAAAGAGGTTGGCTAATTACTGAGCATGTATGATAGAGAGGTGGGCTAATTACTTGGCATGTATGATAAAGAGGTGGGCTAATTACTGGGCATGTATGATAAAGAGGTTGGCTAATTACTGGGCATGTATGATAGAGAGGTGGGCTAATTACTTGGCATGTATGATAAAGAGGTGGGCAAATTACTTGGCATGTATGATAAAGAGGTGGGCTAATTACTTGGCATGTATGATAAAGGGGTGGGCTAATTACTTGGCAGGTATGATAAAGAGGTGGGCTAATTACTGGGCATGTATGATAAAGAGGTGGGCTAAGTATATAATTACTTGGCATGTATGATAAAGAGGTGGGCTAATTACTTGGCATGTATGATAAAGAGGTGGGCTAATTACTGGGCATAGGATCATCTCTTGTAATATAACTACATATTAAAGTCAGGTATTTGATTTATTTCGGAAAAAACTTTTTTTTTATTGCACGAGTGAAATGGTTGGAAAATGAGACAGAATTGCTGGACTCATTTATTGAAGGGTCAAAGTCATCATTATATTAGTGTTTTATGTAGTTATGATTGAAACTGGAGTGATATGGGTGGACTTGTGTCCAGTCACAAATATTTGACCATATAATCATGTGATATTTTAGAAGATGGGAGGTATCGGATGTGGGGGTATGTTGAGTTAGTGTAGGATAGGGAGATCTACTTATCTTTTTCAGTGGCGACAGTTGTGACTCAGTCAGTGTCTGTATCACGTTTTCCCATTAGTGTTATTGAAGTAGAAGCAGATAATCTCAATACATTGCTAATAACATTAATGTCGGAACAGACTGAGTGTAGGACTAAATTAAAAAGTAATTAGGAGAAGTGATGTTTTTGTTATTGACTTCAAATTTGAAGAGAAACACCAAATGTAATATTCCAGTGTCAACTTATCAAATTTGTCATCAAGTGATTTTGATTGTCTTCCTAAATATAATGTAAAACAATACAGTGAAAGCTTGTGATACAGATCATGTTCACTGATTACTATCACGAATATGGTAGATTTGTAAGATTATTACGAGGAGATTCAGATATCAAATAACAATGATTATAGGTATTGATGAAGTGTCAAAATCAGATCCTTCCAACCTATTGATATCGATGTGAGATTATATTTGATAACATCATAGTTAAGATTTTGTGAGAGAAGAGACAGTATTTGATACTGATGAAAGGGGATTTCATATTGACAAGTGGTGATATGAGACACTACCAGATCACCTATAATATATTTATACAAAATCTCTTGATTGTAAAAATTCTGCTATCCGCTTCTATATTACCGGTATAATGGAGCCGAAAGTTCACTTGATCCAAAAAAGTGTTATTGTCAAAATGATAATTGTCGAAAAGCTATATCAGATTGATCATCTAATGACAGTTTTCGATCGTTATAAACAAATGATTTGAAATTGATATCAGGGTTTAAACAAGATTGATTTAGTCTCAGTATTACTATTTGTCATGAAAGCAAACAACAATAGGTAGGAACCAATGATAATAAAAGATGAGCATTATATTGAAACCTGAGTTACACAGGAAATGGAGGTCATTCAGTTTATGACGTTTCGTATCTGATACCTGTAGAAGAATTGTAAGGTAGATTGTATTTACCCCAGGTAATCATTAAGTGTTAACGAGGTAGGGATTAATGAGGCGTGTGTCAGTGTAATACCTACATAAGAACACAGGAAATTGACTGGTCCTTATATTCTCAGTATACATAGGAAGTCAATTAAAACAATGAAAGGGTATTAAAGTTGTATTCTGAGGTAGGTACACTGTACATAGAGGTTCCCCGGTGTCATGCATAAAATGTACCTCCTGCTTAAATAGTATCCNGTGATGCTTGGTTATCGGGTTTATCTAACCAAAGTTAGTTCATTTTGAAACTGTATAAAGACTCGAGGTTTACCGAGTGTCTTTTACATCTTGAAGGAGAGTTAAACACGACCATCGACCATCACCAGTTTGGGGACCTTTTCTTTCCACAGGGTCCAGATATTACTATTATTTCCTGTTACAATCGGGGGAAACAATGGCAATGAGCTAAGAAGTCACAATGGATGATGACGTCGCATGTTACTGGACATCATAATTGGAACATCGACCTTGGTGGATGAAATGTAATTCCTTGCATGTGTTTAAGAACACAATTTTGACCTTGGTTGGCCTTAGTATGGCCGTATAACTATCTAGTTTTTTTTAACGATGGCAATTGTTGGAACCTCATTCTGACACTGTAAGAATATATAGCGAAGCATAGAAAGGACACATATATTTCATGGCTATGGTTAGATCGTAATGATCAAGAAAACCCCTTTCTAGATGTAAATATTCAGGAAATGGATTTCGTGAAATTTAAACAGAGAATTGGTTATTGTTGTAACATTTTGGAACCTATTGGTGTCTACAAAAAGAAGGTGACACTCTTGCTGCAGAAGTGATATTTTTAATATGGAATACTCTTTGTCTATAGTCAATACTGTATTAAGTCATTCACCCCTACATATTTAAACTGGGCTTGCAAAGTCATTGATTTGGTAAGGTTCAAATGTGACTTTAGGGGTGAAAGAGTAAAACTTGTGGGGATGTTACTGGTCATTACCTTCATCAACAGGACAAACAAACAATCTGATTGTGACTAAGGACAGCGATCATTCAATGTCCATTAAGTGGTGGCAGAATGACATTTGTGACAGGCTTCTGAAGAATCTGATAGGGATCATGAAGGTCATGAAATAAAATGAGATAATCTAGGGTCGTTTAGATCACAGAATCAAATTGGTCACACATCATTTGTCAATATTTGTCTTTGACAAGAGAAATTGACCATCAAGATGACATTGTTGTCCAGCATGAGTCAAATAATACATAGTGGTCATATCCTGGACAAATGGACAAGCCATGGGGTCCTGGTGCTGTATAATGTTAGGACAGGAAATTAATCATCGGGGAACTGCGCTGGCAGATTTACAGTAATTGAACTTTGCAATTGAATTGAAAGCCTAATACATGTGGTTGATCATTAGTGTTTATACACCTAACTACTCAGGGTGGTACAGTTCAAGTTTGCTACAAAATCAATTCTGATATATAAATGTCTATGTCTGCTTCATTACTGCTCATTGTATAGCCCCAAATCTTATCCATCAGTCCTAACCCTTACACAACCTTCTGTTTAGACCAATTCCCCTTCTAACTGACTCCTGATTTGACCTCTGACTGACAAGTCTATCACCTTTGACCTGTCAGCTTACTTGCCATCGTCCAGTGGTATAAAAACCTATTGTATGTCTATCTGTTAAAACCAAGCTGTTTCACCTTATTGAGCTATTAAATGAACATTTAAAGTGATTAAATCATTGTATATTGATCAGGAATATTCCTCTGAGTAGCATCATTAGGAGTATTTAGTACCTCCGCTGAAATGATCGGGTCAATATAGAGCTTGAGTTCTGAATCCACAGTAATCAAGGTGATGGATAGGGGATGATGGGTAGGGGGTGATATGGTGTGTTATTATTATTTTGTAGTGACAGAACTAAAGAGTAGATCTAACTGTATATATCCTTTATCTCTTGGCTTAAGTTCTGGGTTATCTCATGAAGCTAGTGCACAGGTCCTATAAAAACATTACAACAGCAGTGGTCAAGTGTTTCAAAAGTTAAATTTCATAATTGACCTTGCTGCAATGTACTAATTAAAAGCTAGTTTTCAATTTTGGTAATAACAAATGTTGAATTCCTAATTGACCTTCAATGTGCTTCTTAAATTGTCAGATATTTCAAAGGTTTGATTTAAAAAAAAAATCCTGTTTCTTGTATAATTGTTTGTATCTTTCCTTTCTTGAAAAGTGCTTTGAGTTATCCCATGTGTATGAAAATGGCAGGATCCATTATAGTTTAAAGGAGGCAGAGGATATAGGATGGCAACATCTTGTCTTTGACCCTAATATGAATAATGATAATGTAGATATAGTTATTTGTTGTTTCAAGGTGTATGGTTTAGCATATTGACTTTAACACACATTAATAATAACAAAAGTATAAAGGATTTTGACATCTTGGAATTAATTAATTTGTTCTTTTTATTCCATTACAGGAAAATCGTTTGCAACATCTGGTGAGTACATTTATCCTATTTTCTGTATAAATATTTGAGAAAGAAAACGTCTCAATCTGTTAAATGGATTAATGTATTGATTCTATGCCAAAAAGGTGGACCTAGTTTTCTTAAAAGCAGGGAATGAAGTTCTGACGTAATTAGTGGCAATGGTATAGGACTGAGCACACTGGCTGACACTGTTAACAGTAGACAAAGTATTGGTACTCAGTACCACCATGCCTACTCTATCCCTGTAATGTTGGGGATGCTGAAGATGAAGATACAGGGGCCTAGGTAGGTGAGTGGGTACATGGGTATGGTACAAATAAGCATGACATATTTATCTGTCTCTTTCGCTTGAAGAAACATATTAAGAAGTGTTATTTGTTTTGTTCCTTTCTATCATGTAAATGGAGAATGTATAAGTGACATTGCTTTGTGATTACCGTGTTTGTCACTTGAATTTATCATTTGATGTTTGTTGTGTAAGTAGAAAGCTCAGAACTTTTAAACTTCCACATGCTATTACCGTATTTATCGTAATGATTTAGCTGTTTAAGTATTTGTAAAATTATTATTGAACTGCTGCACTTGTGAGATGCTATATCCTTTCCTGAATACTGAAGAATTAAACTGCATTCTGGTCAGAGTTATGGTCCTAGAAATTTTGAACAGGATTGTAGATAACTTGAATAATGAGCAATAGCATTATAAAAAATTATAGATGAAAACTTCAATTAGCCAATCAGAATGCATGTAGTCTCATATTTAAAGCATGTGAAGTGCTAAAATAAGGTAGCTGCTAAAATATGTACATGTACGGTATTTAATTTAAAAATGAGCATACCTCTTGAAGATCACAAAGCAATGATTTTACCAATAAAAGAATATAATGTTTCTAAAGTCATTTTTATTTTTTTATTTTCCATTTCCTTTTAGTTGGTTATCAATTTGAAATAAAATTATTGATAGTAATGTCAAGTTTTTGAAATTGTGACTGCCCCTTTTAAAGAGATTGTTTACTGTTGGTAAAATTGAAAGGTGAGAAATATCATTCTATTCAATTAACAAAATAAACATGACAGTCCTGTGTGAATATTGGTTATAAATGTTGTAAAATATGTCAGTCAGTCTCACAAATAAAATTCTACAAACTTCACCAGTACATTAAAGGTATAGCTAGCTTCATAATGGATGATTTTCTCCCATGGTCGATTTCGCGATGAACGAGACCAATATTAATATTCATTAACTCTAATGAATTATTTATTACTGAATATTTGTTAAAATGATGCATGGGGAAAGTTGAGATATTTTTGTAGAGTTTTAATTATAGATGAACACACTGAGTGGAGCCCTGGCTACTTGGCACCACCACACGTTATATATATAACAGCTTAAGGACATTCCAATATGGCCGCCACACCAAACTGTATATCAAATTCAATAATGCATCCCGTTAACATTAAACAATCCCTGTCACAAAATGATCCTCCTCCAATATTTCTCAAACGTAATTGAGGCACATGCACACTAAATTTTAGGAAAAAACCTTCAATAACTGATGAAAAACTCATTTTTTATATATCCATTTTCCAAGCTAAATAAAAGTCACAATTCAGGAAATGCATTATTGAATTTGATATACAGTTTGGTGTGGCAGCCATATTGGAATGTCCTTAATAAATTGGTGAGATGCATAAATTGCTCTGTTTTTCTCCAGCAAACCTTACCAGGATTTATCTTCATGTCTTTTAAGTACAAAACTTGGATATAAAATGGATTTTTGTGTCCATGAAATATTGAGTTATGAGTCACTTTTTAGATGTCCCAGGGTTAAATCTAGTCTATCAGCTTGGCTTGTTTCCATCCTATAGTAAGCAGTTAGGGCTAATAATCTCGAATGAAATGATGGAAATATGCTTTAAATTTCTTTTAAATTTTGTCAAATGACATTCTATGTTTGCAAGGCTTTTTTTGTATTATCTCCCTTCATAAGTCCTATTTTTCCCCTTTAAATCATTCACCCCTGAAATTTTATGATGAACTATTCCAACATTTGAATTGGAAGAGTTCAAATTTGGCTTCAGGGGTGAATGAGTTAAAGGGAAAAAATAGGACTTATGAAGGGAGATAATCCAAAAAAAGCCTTGCAAACATAGTTAAAAGCATGTAATCTCCCCTTGTAAGTATTGTTGAGTTATCTCCTTTTAAAAATTTTTTGTTATCTCATTTTCTATATCTTTTTGTTCCTTTTCTTACATGTGTTTTGTTTGATGGCATAGTTTGCCTGTTGTTATGCTCCCTAAGTGTGGTTTTGTTTGGTGGCATAGTTTGCCTGTTGTTATGCTCCCTAAGTTTTGTTTTGTTTGGGGGCATAGTTTGCCTGTTGTTATGCTCCCTAAGTTTTGTTTTGTTTGGGGGCATAGTTTGCCTGTTGTTATGCTCCCTAAGTTTTGTTTTGTTTGGGGGCATAGTTTGCCTGTTGTTATGCTCCCTAAGTCTGGTTTGTGTTTGGTGGCATCGTTTGCCTGTTATTATGCTTCCTAAGTGTGTTTTTTTGTTTGGTGGCGTAGTTTGCCTGTTGGTATGCTCCCTACATGTGGTTTTTTGTTTGGTGGCATAGTATGCCTGTTGTTATGCTCCCTAAGTCTGGTTTTTGTTTGGTGGCATAGTTTGCCTGTTGTTATGCTCCCTAAGTGTGGTTTTTTGTTTGGTGGCATAGTTTGCCTGTTGCTATGCTCCCTAAGTATGGTTTCACTTAAAGCAGTCTCCAGTTGCAATGGTTAATGGATAAAGGTTCTGAAATTAGGAATTCATCGTCTTCAGCAAGTGGCCTGTAGGATTCAGTCATTATTCCATCTCTGTGTACAGTGGTAATTCTGGACTCTGATAAGGAATTTATCGTCTTCAGCAGGTGGCCTGTAGGATTCAGTCATTGTTCCATCTCTGTGTACAATGGTATTTCTGGACTCTGATTAGGAATTCATCGTCTTCAGCAGGTGGCCTGTAGGACTCAGTCATTGTTCCATCTCTGTGTACGGTGGTATTTCTGGACTCTGATTAGGAATTCATCGTCTTCAGCAGGTGGCCTGTAGGATTCAGTCATTGTTCCATCTCTGTGTACAGTGGTATTTCTGGCCTCTGAATAGGAATTCATCGTCTTCAGCAAGTGGCCTGTAGGATTCAGTCATTGTTCCATCTCTGTGTACAGTGGTATTTCTGGACTCTTATTAGGAATTCATTGTCTTCAGCAGGTGGCCTGTAGGATTCAGTCATTATTCCATCTCTGTGTACAGTGGTATTTCTGGACTCTGATTAGGAATTCATCGTCTTCAGCAGGTGGCCTGTAGGACTCAGTCATTGTTCCATCTCTGTGTACGGTGGTATTTCTGGACTCTGATTAGGAATTCATCGTCTTCAGCAAGTGGCCTGTAGGATTCAGTCATTGTTCCATCTCTGTGTACAGTGGTATTTCTGGACTCTGATTAGGAATTCATCGTCTTCAGCAGGTGGCCTGTAGGATTCAGTCATTGTTCCATCTCCATGTACAGTGGTATTTCTGGACTCTGATTTTTTTTTATTAAAGCATTACTTACCAACTCTCCCCCTATTAAGGAGGGAGACTCCCTATTTTGAGCCCTACCATTTAGCATTTTCAACAAGTGAATTTGCTTAACTATTCCTGTATTCTAAAATATAATTATTTCATCATCAACTCATAATATGTCATTTTCCCGGGTTATGTTGTCCCTAGGGGGTACATACACACATATTATTTATGTTTTAATTTTGAGAAGACAGAAACTCCCCCATGGACATTTCAAAACGTTGGCAAGTATGTAAAAGAATTATTGAAATTAAGTTGTTCGGCCAGTTTGTTACTTTAATAAAGAACTCAGTTAGTGCAGGCACTGTGGATATAAAGTGTAGTGGTCTACATCTATACATATCACCTGGCCAGGTAATGTTCCAGTTACCTGTAGGTTATGTCATCGTCTAATTGCATGTACAGGTGAAATCATGCTCACATGTACTTTATCAGGTATTTTGTCATTCTCATCACCAACATCATAAACAAACTAGCTACATTAGACCTCCCTGTCTCATGCTCAATAAATAAGTAGCTGATTATTTTAGTGCCCCAGTGAATAATGGGTGTGGTATTGGACTGCAAATTAATTACATATTGCAGTTTTTGATCTCCACTTGTGACATCAATAACATACCTGTGACATCAATAACATACCTGTGACATCAGTAACATACCTGTGACATCAGTGACATATCTGTGACATCAGTAACATACCTGTGACATCAGTAACATACCTGTGACATTAATAACATACCTGTGACATCAGTAACATACTTGTGACATCAATAACATACCTGTGACATCAGTAACATACCTGTGACATTAATAACATATCTGTGACATCAGTAACATACTTGTGACATCAATAACATACCTGTGACATTAGTAACATACCTGTGACATCAGTAAAATACCTGTGACATCAGTAACATACTTGTGACATCAGTAACATACCTGCGACATCAGTAACATACCTGTGACATCAATAACATACCTGTGACATTAGTAACATACCTGTGACATCAGTAAAATACCTGTGACATCAGTAACATTCTTGTGACATCAATAACATACCTGTGACATCAGTAACATACCTGCGACATCAGTAACATACCTGTGACATCAATAACATACCTGTGACATCCGTAACATACCTGTGACATTAATAACATATCTGTGACATCAGTAACATACTTGTGACATCAATAACATACCTGTGACATCAGTAACATACTTGTGACATCAGTACCATACTTGTGACATTAGTAACATACCTGTGACATCAGTAAAATACCTGTGACATCAGTAACATACTTGTGACATCAATAACATACTTGTGACATCAATAACATACCTGTGACATCAGTAACATACTTGTGACATCAATAACATACCTATGACATCAATAACATACCTGTGACAT